CCTGGATGGCAGGGAGCTCTGGTATAGAGGTCCTGGATGGCAGGGAGCTCTGGTATAGAGGTCCTGGATGGCAGGGAGCTCTGGTATAGAGGTCCTGGATGGCAGGGAGCCCTGGTATAGAGGTCCTGGATGGCAGGGAGCTCTGGTATAGAGGTCCTGGATGGCAGGGAGCCCTGGTATAGAGGTCCTGGATGGCAGGGAGCTCTGATATAGAGGTCCTGGATGGCAGGGAGCTCTGATATAGAGGTCCTGGATGGCAGGGAGCTCTGATATAGAGGTCCTGGATGGCAGGGAGCTCTGATATAGAGGTCCTGGATGGCAGGGAGCTCTGGTATAGAGGTCCTGGATGGCAGGGAGCTCTGATAGAGAGGTCCTGGATGGCAGGGAGCTCTGATATAGAGGTCCTGGATGGCAGGGGGCTCTGATATAGAGGTCCTGGATGGCAGGGGGCTCTGATATAGAGGTCCTGGATGGCAGGGAGCTCTGGTATATAGGTCCTGGATGGCAGAGAGCTCTGATATAGAGGTCCTGGATGGCAGGGAGTTCGGCCCCAGTGATGTACTGGGCTGTCTGCACTACCCTTTGTATCTCCATGTGATCTAGCGCGCTGCAGTTGCCTTACCAAGCAGTGATGCAGCCAGTCAAGATGCTATCAATGGTGCAGCTGTAGAACGTTTTGAGGATTTGAGGGCCCATGACAAATCTTTTCAACCTCCTGAGGGGGAAGAGGCGCTATCGCGCCTTCTTCATGACTTTTTGCGTGTGTGTCAAACCTTTTAAGTGTTTCGTGATTTGGACATGAGAAACTTGAAGCTCTCACCACACTGCCAGGTCTCTGACCTCCTCCCTATAGGCTGTCTCATCGTCGTCGGTGATCAGGCCTACCACCGTCGTGTCGTCAGAAATCTTGATGATGGTGTTGGAGTCGTACGTGTCCACGCAATCGAGGGTGAACAGGGAGTACAGGAGAGGACTAAGCACACACCCCTGTAGGGCCCCCATTTTGAGGGTCAGCATGGCAGAGGTGTTGTTGCCAACCCTCACCACCTGGGGGCAGCCCGTCAGGAAGTCCAGGGTCCAGCTGCAGAGGGAGGTGTTCAGTCCCACGGTTGGTGACGAGCTTGGAGGGGACTATGGTGTTGAACACTGAGCTGTAGTCAATGAACAACATTCTCACTCTTTTTTTATATTTTTATTTAACCTTTATTTAACCAGGTAAGCCAGTTGAGAACAAGTTCTCATTTACAACTGCGACCTGGCCAAGATAAAGCAAAGTAGTGTGATAAAAACAACAACACAGAGTTACATATGGGGTAAACAAAACATAAAGTCAAAAATACAACAGAAAATATATATACAGTGTGTGCGAATGTAGTAAATTATGGAGGTAAGGCAATAAATAGGCCATAGTGCAAAATAGTTACAATTTCGTATTAACACTGGAATGATAGATGTGCAAAAGATGATGTGCAAATAGAGATACTGGGGTGCAAATTAGCAAAATAAATAACAATATTGGGATGAGGTAGTTGGATGGGCTAATTACAGATGGGCTGTGTACAGGTGCAGTGATCTGTAAGCTGCTCTGACAACTGATGCTTAAAGTTAGTGAGGGAGATAAGTGTCTCCACCTTCAGAGATTTTTGCAGTTCGTTCCAGTCATTGGCAGCAGAGAACTGGAAGGAATAGCGGCCAAAGGGGTGTTGGCTTTGGGGATGACCAGTGAGATATACCTGCTGGAGCGCAGACTACGGGTGGGTGTTGCTATGGTGACCAGTGAGCTAAGATAAGACGGGGATTTGCCTAGCAGTGATTTATAGATGACCTGGAGCCAGTGGGTTTGGCGACTAATATGTAGTGAGGGCCAGCCAACAAGAGCGTACAGGTCACAATGGTGGGTAGTATATGGGGCTTTGGTGACAAAACGGATGGCACTGTGATAGACTACATCCAATTTGCTGAGTAGAGTGTTGGAGGCTATTTTGTAAATGACATCGCCGAAATCAAGGATTGGTAGGATAGTCCGTTTTACGAGGGCATGTTTGGCAGCATGAGTGAAGGAGGCTTTGTTGCGAAATAGGAAGCCGATTCTAGATCTAACTTTTGATTGGAGATGCTTAATGTGAGTCTGGAAGGAGAGTTTACAGTCTAACCAGACACCTAGGTATTTGTAGTTGTCCACATACTCTAGGTCAGACCCGCCAAGAGTAGTGATTCTAGTCGGGTGGGCGGGTGCAAGCAGCGTTTGATTGAAGAGCATGCATTTAGTTTTACTAGTGTTTAAGAGCAGTTGGAGGCTACGGAAGGAGTGTTGTATGGCGTTGAAGCTCGTTTTGAGTTTTGTTAACACAGTGTCCAATGAAGGGCCAGATGTATACAAAATGGTGTCATCCGCATAGAGGTGGATCCGAGCGTCACCCCATAGAGACTGCCAGAGGTCCAGACAACAGGCCCTCCGATTTGACACATTGAACTCTATCTGAGAAGTAGTTGGTGAACCAGGTGAGGCAGTCATTTGAGAAACCAAGGCTATTTAGTCTGCCAATAAGAATGCGGTGGTTGACAGAGTCGAAAGCCTTGGCCAGGTTGATGAAGACGGCTGCGCAGTACTGTCTTTTATCGATCGCGGTTATAATATCGTTTAGGACCTTGAGCATGGCTGAGGTGTACCCATGACCAGCTCGGAAAACCGGATTGCATAGCGGAGAAGGTACGGTGGGATTCGAAAGGGTTGGTGATCTGTTTGTTAACTTGGCTTTCAAATACTTTCGAAAGGCAGGGCAGTATGGATATAGGTCTGTAACAGTTTGGATCTAGAGTGTCACCCCCTTTGAAGAGGGGGATGACCGCGGCAGCTTTCCAATCTCTGGGGATCTCAGACGTTACGAAAGAGAGGTTGAACAGGCTAGTAATAGGGGTTGCGACAATTTCAGCGGCTAATTTTAGAAAGAAAGGGTCCAGATTGTCTAGCCCAGATGATTTGTAGGGGTCCAGATTTTTCAGCTCTTTCAGAACATCAGCTGTCTGAATTTGTGTAAAGGAGAAGCGGGGGGGGGGGGGGGGCATGGGCAAGTTGCAGCGGAGGAAAGCACTTTTAAAGAACAACCAGGCATCCTCTATTGACGGAATGAGGTCAATATCCATCCAGGATACCCGGGCCAGGTCAATTAGAAAGGCCTGCTCGCTGAAGTGTTTTAGGGAGCGTTTGACAGTGATGAGGGGTGGTCGTTTGACCGCGGACCCATTACGGATGCAGGCAATAAGGCAGTGATCGCTGAGATCCTGGTTGAAGACAGCGGAGGTGTATTTAGAGGGTAAATTTGTCAGGATGATATCTATGAGGGTGCCCATGAATACGGATTTTGGGTTGTACCTGGTAGGTTCGTTGATAATTTGTGTGAGATTGAGGGCATCTAGTTTAGATTGTAAATTGGCCGGGGTGTTAAGCATATCCCAGTTTAGGTCACCAAGCCGTACGAACTCTGAGGATAGATAGGGGGCAATCAGTTCACATATGGTGTCCAGGGCACAGCTCGGGGCTGAGTGGGGTCTGTAGCAAGCGGCAACAGTGAGAGACTTATTCTGGAAAGGTGGATTTTTAGAAGTAGAAGCTCAAACTGTTTGGGCACAGACGTGGATAGTATGATAGAGCTCTGCAGGCTATCTCTACAGTAGATTGCAACCCCACCCCCTTTGGCAGTTCTATCGAGACAGAAAATGTTGTAGTTAAATTTTTGGTGGCCATCCTAAGCCAGGATTCAGACTCTGCTAGAACATCAGCGTTGGCGGAGTGTGCTAACGCAGTGAATAACTCAAACTTAGGGAGGAGGCTTCGGATGTTAACGTGCAAGAAACCAAGGCTTTTACGGTTACAGAAGTCAACAAATGATAACGCCTGGGGAGTAGGAGTGATACTGGGGGCTACAGGGCCTGGGTTAACCTCTAGATCACCAGAGGAACAGAGGAGGAGTAGAA